AAAGTGTTTTTGACAAATGTCCAATAAATGCAGCATGTTTCTGAAGTTTAAAAAAATAATCGTTTGAATAATCGTGATTTCAATTTTGACCCAAATAATTGTGATTATGATTTTTTTCCATAATCGAGCAGCCCTAAGTCAGTTTGCCAGATACTGCAACTCTGCTCTGCTGATGCCACAGCGACAAAGTCGACTGTGGTTAGAGCAGCCAAGCATAGCAAGAAACCAAGCTAACACACAGTGTAACAGTGTCCATAAATGCTGACCACCGTTGTGAGCAAGTACTGTCCTGTATTGTCAAGAACAACGGAATTTTTGAAGACAACAGATAAAGGAAAATGTTGTGTTTGCATTAACAGCAAATCAAATTGTGAACACATGAGGAAATGAGGAATAATGAGGAAATATACTTTTAAGAGTAGAAATCAGAAATAAACGACATGTGTAAGGGGCCAAATTTCACATTGCAAAGCAGCCGAAGTGATAAAATGCCCCTTTCAGCATTTGACCTCTTGCTGTCTTTGCTGCTGCCACACTATAAGTTGGCCATTGTTTTGGAGAACATTAACATCCCAGGGCCTTATTCTGTAACACATTGCTTGGTGAACCTCACTTAACATTTCCACGCTGTAATTTTACCCCCTGATGAAAAACCCTTTAACATCTCCCTTGTTGTCTCCCAGGCACACAACCCCAGAGAAATTCTTCATTGAGGCCTGCGATGAGGGGGCTGACGCTGTGCTGGCGATCGACAGGGTCTCCAATGAGATGACCCTCACAGGTAGAAAGTCTTTGAAAGTTGAATGACTTTTACTGACACTACAAAGAAAAAACAGTTTTAGCTATGGTTGACATGCGCATATCGGTGCATCTCTTAGCTTTGAACCCTAGGTTTTCTTTGCATGTATTAGCAAGGCATGCCCTATATCAGACACCACAACCGTGCAACTGGGTTCTAAATATTTAGGAAACCTGTTTTTCTTTGGTCCCTCTGCAGTCTAGTGGTCATATTGAACAGGTTTAAACTGTGATCTGTCAGTCTATAGTGAGTTTAGCTGATAGTGCTATAACCCTACACCAAACTTCTGTTTCTATTTTGAGGTTTTAATAATAGATTTTCTAAGCTGTTTGACCAATGACTGCTGATTTCTTTATATTCTTATTTAACACATAATCAAAACTCCCCATGCACTGCAAACAGGTGGACCATGTCGTAAAAAATCTGAATTAACATCCGCACACTGGAATTACTTTAGTGTGATTTTATTTAAGAGCGAACAGTGCGTTTTGCATGCAGCTTCCTCAGTTCTGCTACAGCTGAAATATCCTGTAGGTCCTGCCACTGTCCCTCTACACCACTAAATGGAACAGCCAGGGGACCTATGTCTCATCTCTACCTAAAGGTCCAAATCACCTGTACAAAGAAATATAAGTTAACATATTTATGTCACAAAAAACTGCTAAAATCCTGTGCTTCAGTTGTGTTCAGTTCTTAAATCCAAAATGCCTCCCTCATTAAGAGCTGGTTAATCAAATGCCCCCCCTCTTGGATTGGGTCGCACTCTTTCAATGCCAGTGAATTTGAGGCTGAACCATGGTTTTTTCCCTATAGTGCCTAGCAATGACATAATCCATGTTACCATTCCTAATGGCCGCCTTATGCTCGACAACTCTTAGTTTAAGATTTAGTTTAGTCCACATACATTAAGCCACATGGGCATTTCAAGACATAAACAACATGAGTAGAGAGACAATTACTGAATTCCTTTATATGTCATATTTCTGTCCTAAATGTAGGTGACTGAATGTCTTAGTATTAAATGTGTCCCACGTCTGTAGTTCCCATAAACTTGTTGAGAAAGGTCTGAAGGATGAGTTAAACTTGGGTTACAAGATAAAAGTCCATGGCTTCTTATCCACCATCGATGTTGGTGTAGAAGAGAAGAAGAAGAAGATGAAGATATACTTTATTGATCCCCTAGGGGGACTTTTTTTTTTTTACTCTTTTTTTTATACACACACACAGGCTGAAATTCACACTTTGTGCACATGTGGACATGCAAAAGGGAGAGATGGTGGAGTGATGGGGCTGCCACGTTACCAGCGCTCAAGGGCACCTCAGCAGTACACAGGGGGTGAAACTGGCACCTCTCCAGCGACCAGTCCACACCATATTTTGTGGTCTGTGGGACTTG